TACTTTTGTTTTTTTAGGAATTAATGTTTTAAATAATCCCGCAAAACAAAAATCATTAAATACAACACCATTAACAATAATACTTACATTATACATTAAACAATTAATTGAATAAACTTTTTGGGGGTAAAACAAGTTAAAATTAGATGTTTGGTAGCACACCCTTTTCACGTGCCCAGGACAGGCAGGACTCGAACCCAAGACTAAATATAACCAACCAAGCTACTGTAGCAAAATACGTATAACCTAAAAAACTAACCTACCCTAACTAAATCTAACCCGAAGTCTATAGATATACTGTAGACCTTGATCTGCTAGGCAGTTGCAGGCGTTCTAAACTCTTTGGGGGCATGATGGGTTACATCCAAGAGTCATTAAGGAGATGATGGAGGAACTACTTCAGCCTCTGAGGATCTTGTTTGAAAGCTCTTTTCAAGAAGGAAATATACCCGAGGACTGGCGTATTGCATATATCACAGCTATCTATAAGAAGGGAAGTAAAAGTGAACCAGGAAACTACAGGCCAGTCAGTCTAACTAGAAGTGTAATCTGCAAATTAATGGAGTCAATATTACGGGAAGAGATGATATCCCATATGAAAAAATATGGATTGTTTAGTAATAAACAGTTTGGCTTCATTTCCGGCAGGTCAACAGTCCTACAGTTGATTAGGGTACTAGACAGGTGGACGGAAATTATCGATGACAGTCAGGCTGTGGACATAGTGCATTGTGACTTCATGAAGGCTTGATAGAGTACCCCACAAAAGACTATTAGAAAAAGTATCTAGTTATCGCATTGATGGAAAACATCTTGATTGGATAAGGAATTTTTTAACTAAGAGAAAACAGAGGGTTGTGGTAAATGGAGAAGTATCTGACTGGAGAGAGGTCACTAGTGGGGTCCCTCAGGGTTCTGTCCTCGGCCCCCTGCTGTTTGTCCCTTTTATCAATGACCTGCCTGAGGCAATTAAACACGACAGTGAGGTATATCTATATGCTGATGACACAAAGATTTTTAGGAAAATAGAACGAGATGAGGATTGTGACATGCTGCAGGAGGACCTGGATGGGATCAGGGGTTGGACTGAGAAGTGGATGCTGAACTTTCACCCAGAAAAAAGTAAATACATGAGGATAGGAAGAACAAAAGTTGCTGACCATGGATATCATATGTACACCACGATCAAGAAGACCACTGTAGAGAAGGATATAGGGGTAGTCATCGATGATAAGCTGACGTTTTCTGACCATCTAGCTGAGAAAATCAACAAGGCTAATAAAATAGTGGGCATTATTAGAAGAACTTTTGTTCATCTGGATGCACCTATATTCAAGGCTCTGTACACTGCTCTGGTTAGGCCACACCTTGAGTATGCTAATCAAATTTGGAGCCCATATCTCATTAAGGATATTCAAGCAGTAGAGAATGTACAGAGGAGGGCTACCAATTTAGTACCACAGATCAAGGATTTATCTTATGAGGAAATACTAAGGAAATTACAGTTACCGACACTGGTGTACAGAAGATCTCGTGGGGACCAAGTGGAAACATACAAGATAGTGTGTGGCATATATGACCAGGCATGTACAGCAGGAATGTTCCAGATGAGGGAGGCTGACACTACCCGGGGGAACTCAAAGAAGATCTACAAAACAAGAACGAGGCTAAATCTCAGAAGACACTCGTTCACGAGTAGGGTTGTCAACAACTGGAATGGGTTACCTGAGTGGGTAGTGAATGTGGAGATGGCGGAAAAGTTTGAAGCAAAATTAGATAAATACTGGAAAAATCAACAAGTATATAATTTTAGGGCACAATTATCCGCCACACACAGCCACCGTCTGAGTAGAGAAGAGGCTATTGAGCTGGAGTCACAGGCGTGAGCCTCTTCCAGAAGATCATCTGTGAGTATCTGTGAGTATTGTAGTGCCAGGGGCGGGTCCAGGGGGGAGGCGTCCTGGGGGTCCGGACCCCTTTTCATCAGAAAATTCCAAACTTTTTCTTTAATGTAGTATTGTACTCGGGCATTTTTATATTATACTGCCAAATTCTGGGGTCACTAATTCTAAGGGTAATAACTTAACTATAGTCTTAATTTTAAGAGTTGCTGCCACCAGACCCCCTCTGGGTAGTATGTAGCTCGTTAGGTAGCGTGCAGAGTGGACCAGGCATTGGGTTAGGTTTTTCATTGACCAGATCAATAAGGGGAAAGAAAGGTGAAACCATAACATGTCTTAACTAATTTAAGTGAGTTGGCCTTCCTGAGAAGAGCAACGATCATTTTGGTTACCCTTCTTACAATATCACTCAACACGTCGGACTGCTCCACCTGTATGAACTATAGCACCTTAGATCATCATACATAGTAACACCATCTCACCTCCCTGTAGCACCAGCTCACCACACCTGTTATACTCCACACCTGCAAGTATGGGACTCCTTGTAATTTCTAGGTACACATATGAGGCACCTCGTTCGCACACTGTCGTCGGTGGGTATAGACTGGGTAGAGACAAGGGCTACACCAAGAGACATACCAGTACTGTTTCTACACCTGGTATTATGTCACTCCAAGTGACGACCGCGGAGTTTCTCAAGCGTTTCCTTATTTATTCCTACTCATTTAGGGTGGTATGCTGGGAATCCACAGGTTCACAGTGGATTAGCATAGTTGGGAGTTGTCACCTCACAGTGGGACGCTCACAGGGGTAATGGCCGCCGCCCAGCAAGGCACTCCGACCGCGTGGGACCTTAGGTGATGAGAGAACGAAGGATACTGAGAAATAATGCCTGATGGGCCGTTATCACACACCCTAACACATTACTATTTCACTTATACATCAGGCAAAGCTTTAACTGTAATAACTGCTATATGTCTCTTTTTTTTTTTTAGGGCTGAATACAGCCCGATGAAGTTCACTGACCTTAGGTGATGAGAGAACGCAGGATACTGAGGGCAGTGCCCTGCCGCTCCTCACCGCGTAGGCCTACAGTTTCCAATCTTTAATTTTTACTTTTATTTCTTACGGTTCTCACATGAACACTTTCCTGTATATTGTAACCTCATGTCTTATAAACACATATTTTAATCCTAAATTACACACTAAGGTAAGGTTCTGGTTTGCTAGTTCGTGGGTAAATTCATTGGGTTATAATATCAACGTGGCACACTCGAGGCGGGCACAAAGGACGCTACCTTGAAACAAAAGCCGAATGTTCATGGCGTGGATATATCCACTTCACTTAAAACTGTACAGTCAACCCTCACTTTACGCGGTCCCACATTCCGCGTTTCTACGTTTACGCTGTACCCTGCCGAAACCTGGGATGCTCACATTCCGCGGTGCGTGTACCCCTTTACGTGGAGAGTGTCTGGCTCGACGCTATTTTTAGATTCGCCCCTCCCGCCTGCTCCCGCCTCCGCCTGGGCAAGCTGCGCGGTAAGGTTGCGCAGTGCATGTCTCTGTTGCGTTATCAGTGACGTCATATGACGTATCGGACTGTGATTGGCCATGCATCCCTACCTCCCTCCGCTGCTAGCTGTAATTGGTTTAAAGTAATATGACGTGTCCACCCGGGGAGGGAGAGAGGGAGGAAAGACGACGCTTGACCTAGCCGCGGCAGTTTCATCCCTCCAGGCCACACCGTGTAATCGTGCATCCATTGTTCTGTAAAATGGCTTCCGCCGGACCACCGCCCCCAGAGAGAAACCTTTCCTTGCTTGGACCCAGCCGCCCTAAGCCAAAGAAGACACGACGTTCCTTAAGCTACGAGGTGAAGTACAAGATCATCCAAGAGTTGGAGAAAGGAATAAGACAGGATGATTTGGTGCGCCAGCATGGTGTGAACGAATCTACGATCCGGACGATAAAGAAGGATGCAGCCAAGATAAAGGAGCACATGAAGATCACAAAGTCTACAGGTGCTTCTATGATCAAGTATTTCCACAACCAGGTGCTTCTCAAGACGGAAAAATTACTTGTGAGCTACTTGGTGCGTCAGGCGCGATGGAACATGGCGGTGGACACGCGCTCTGTTAAGGAGTACGCACTTGAACTGTATGCTGCAGTGTCACGAAAGATGGGAATTACAGAGCCCAAACCCTTTAATGCTTCCTCTGGGTGGTTACAGAGGTTTAAGATGAGGAACAAGATCACCAATATAAACATTGGTGGTGAAGAAGCTAGTGCTGACCGTGTTGCGGCTAGGGAATTTCCTCCGTTTTTACGTGAGATTATGGAGGAAGGACAGTACAGTGACGACCAGGTGTTTAACATGGACGAATCTGGTCTTTTTTTGGAAAAAGCTACCTTCCAAGACCTTCGTTGTGAAGAATGCCAGCAAGATTCGGGGCCAGAAGTTGCAGAAGGAGCGCATCACCGTCCTGTTTACCACCAATGCCTCCAGTACCTGTAAGCTCAAGTTATCGGTGATCCACACAGCACGCAAGCCGCACGCCTACAAGAGCATGGACATGACCAAGCTAAATGTCCACTGGCTGACCGCACGTAAGGCGTGGATGTTCTCTACACTGTCCCTCTCCGGGTTTGATGATCGTTTCGTTCCCGATGTAAAGAAATTCTGTGAGCAACAGAATGTGCCATTCAAGATGTTGTTGCTGCTGGACAACGCACCAGGACACTCGCCCCTACTGTTAGATCGTCACCCCAACGTAAAAGTGGTCTTCCTTCCTCCCAACACTACGTCTATATTACAGCCCATGGACCAAGAGTTAATCTGTAATGTAAAAGCTGCATTCTCTACTAAAAAATTCAAGCTCCTGAACGACTACACCAACACCAGGGAAGAGTTGCGTAACCTGAGTGACACCACCACCGATAGCAAGAGCGAAGACGACGAGGATCAACAGTTGGCAGAGCAAAAAATACTTTTCAAACAATTCTGGAGAATATTCAACATCAAGAAAGCTGTGGACTTCTTGGTTGAGGCATGGGATCAGCTGTCTGTAGCAACTGTTCGTCACGCATGGAGACATG